ACTAATCAAAATTCCCTTTCCTGTGGCTTTTTTCTAGCCAATTATACTCACCAATATTTTCCTTCAAAGTTCCCTAAACATGTTCCAAATGTCTACACTTATCTTTTACTTGGCTTACATGTGTTCAAACTGTATCCTCTTTACAGTGTAAAGTACTTAGTAACTGAGACCAAGTATAGTAAATCTTCAATTAGAATTGAGTAACTATTGTGATGACTTTTCATTTAAATTACTTGTATTGATTGATTGATTTATAAAGTAGTACAGTATATAATGGAAGAGCATACTGTCAAGGGAATTCATGAAGGCTGAATGACCACCAGAGTCAGCCAGCAAGTAGTTTGTTAGTAATGGACTATGGGACTTTAGGCTTGACACTCTCTTACTTAGTTTTAATGTATATAATTAAATCCTGAGGACACAAAGCTGGTCTTAAGGTGATGCTAAGAGGAATTAAATAATCAAATCCCAGAACTTATTGATAAAGTCAATTTAAGCTAATAATTTTAGATTTAAAAGGAAACAAGAAGCAAAGTCTTACTCTCAGATATAATAACAATTTCAATATGAGTAACTGATCAAGCATAAAAAGAAGGGAATATGGTCCAGCACCAGTACGTGTGTTTTAAAACACTTTTGGATAAGAACTTATCTCAGATCTACTTGAGTTGTCTGTGATGATGAAGGAATTAAAAACTAGAATAAATGGGCAAGAGAACTGGTGAGCTACAGTATAAAAGAGAGGATTCGCTGATGACAAATATCACATAGAAGAAGAATTAGAAGAAGAAGAAGGAGGAGGAGGAGGAGGAGGAGGAGAAGGAGAAGAAGAAGAAGAATTATTACTTAAATTGTTTTGGATGACTCCCGGGGGTTGATGAAGAATTGGTGGAAATTTCAGAAAGTCAGGTCATTATATAGAAAAGTTGACTAGTAGGTGAAATACTGCTTCTGAGTTTAAATCGTATATTCTCTCACTTTCATTAAAAATCCTAATCATCAATAGGAAACTCAGAATATATGGGAACTGCTTCTTGGGAAAGATGTAATCATGGTGTTTTAAGCATCTTTAATTGATTGACCTAAATAACCTTTGATGACACTCCTATCCCTTATTTTGTGACAAAATGGAGCAATTTATTAAGGTAACTTATTGTGAAATAGGTTGGAATCAAGACAAGAAAGATATGAAGAAAGTTGCTTGGGCATAGGTAGAAATACGATATTGAGTAGAAACAAAACTCTTATATGTAAGTGCATTAGCTAAAGTAATAGTTCACTGACTTTGGAGGATTTTCCTCTGATGCCATTAGACTGCTAAAGTAAGCTTCATATCAAATAGAAAAAGGTTTTTAAGAAGAAAAAAGATTCTGAAAAGAAGCCCCAAAAATGCCAATCTCATATAAAATGTAAGCAAGCATCAAAAAAAAAAAAAAAAAAGTCCACTACAATGAAAATGTAACTGTAAACAAAAAAGCATCTTACAGTCAAGGGCACTGTATAGCAGCATAGTTAAGCCCTTTATCTTAGCAATACTCCTCTGACACTATAAGACAAAATACTGACAGAGAAAGGCTTAAAACAAATGAAAATGTACCCAATCAAAAAAAAAAAAACTTTCTGATATTAATATTCTTTATAGGACTTGTTCAATGCTTTTAATGTAATCAACCAGAATTATGTTTAAGTGCTGCTTTCTCTAACTTTTTGAAATGATAAATTTGATTCTTGAAGGGGAATCTGCATTTCATCACAAGGATGAAATCCAGTGTCCTTGGCCAAGATATTCTTCACAGAAGTAGGCTATTTTTGTATTTTATACTTAGCATATTTAAAGACACACAATCCAGGTGAGCAACTTGCTCCAAAATGCACTCAATCTTTACTTGTGAATAAGGCTCTATTGCTTCAGTACTCACCCCTCGACAGATCCTATTTCAATATTCCCCTCAGTAACTAATCCTGAAATTTTTTCTGGAGAGCCTACTGCAGGTAACTTCACATGCACCAATACTCTTTGATGTCAGGTAAACTGACGGTTGTCATGGCCAGAGATTAAGTGTGGCACAAATGATGTGGTAGTAGATTGAAAAATATGTAAAAGAATAGAAAAACTGAATTCTAGCTGGTTTAAAAAGCAAACAGAAAATATCTCCCAGCTTAACTTTGATATAAAATGAAATAAGAAAGGGTTATAAAAACAATTGGGGCATTCAAATAATGGGATGCCCAAACTGTGATTGTAAAGTCCATCAAAATTAACCATGGAAATGTCACTTAGTACTTTTACAATACTATGCTAGCTTAACTATATTAGCTATACTTCTAATATTAACTTAACTATACTAACTTAACTTCTAATTTAAAAATTATGATGATAAATTGACTAGAGAATGGCTAATTTGGAAAGGAGAGGTGAAGGTCACTGGAGGTTCCAGAATTTCTAAGCTCCAAATTGTTAATATCCAAACTGGCCTCCTTCCTGAATAGTGCCCAGATGGCAGAGACAACACTGATATGTGGTCTTAGCTGCTTTTTGACAAGGAACTGTCACCAGTAGGTGACCCCATCAGTCTTAGGGCAGGAAAATTACTAAATGATGCAAGAAAATGCCTGCAGGCCAGTACACCATGGATCCCTGAGAAGCAAGAGGACAAAACCTCAGGAAAAAATGAATTTTCAGCTGGTGCTCATACAAAAGAGACTGTTACGTTTCTTTGCAGATAGAAGAAAATAAAATCAATTTTGTTTCCACACATATATGTCTAATAAGAAAAGAAAACATTCTCCTTGAGAAGAAATAAGATCATGTATAAAAAGTGGGTGAATGGCATCATCTCTTGATAATATACACAAAAGTTAACTCTGACGCTGCTCTATGAACACAACATAGTCTGGAATCAACTACTACAATAGTATGGAGACATTATCTCTGCTGCACAACATTAGTCAGAAGGCAGAAAGGAAACAAAGTAATCCAAACTCATATAGGATGAAATTTTAATATCAGCCCTTCCTGAACAAAATTGGCAAACACAAGTCCAATTAATTTTCCAAAAACATAATTCTACTTGTCAGAAAGCAACCCACTATAAGCAATTATTTTTAGCAAACTGATGCCACTGGAAAACAAGTTGAATATGGATAGGGATGTCTTGTCTCTACTCTTCACTGCCCCAACATAAAATGATATTATATTAACATATGGGGGAAAAAAGTAATGAACTATTACTTCTGGAAGGAGGAATTTATATTTCTAACATCTATAAACCATTACCTAGCTCAATGGAGGGAGAATTATTTAATATTTAAATAAATCACATTCCACCTCCACCTAGATTTTGCCATTGCCTTTTAGAGAGACTAATGCTGATAATTAACACATCTTTAATTTGTGCTTTCAAGACATTCCACCCAAGCACTAGAGGAAACTGTTAAGCATTTAAAAATGTAGGAAATTAACATTAAACAGTAATATGCAAGATATTAGCATTTGAACTTAAAATTGTGTCTTAAAATAGTTATATGAGATTTTGTTGAAAAAGAGATATGCCCTTCTCTACTAAAAATCAAGATTCAGAAATATGAGTCAGCTGTTAAAAGTCACAATATTATAGCAGAAAGTTTTTTCCCCAAAGGCAAATTCCAAAATTATAATGCATAATTCTACATTATTTTTGTTTGTCCTGACAACTCTGCTCCCTGTATAAATTAAAGCATTGTCTTCATTAACAATCACTATCTAACTACAACAGTAAGAACGTTTTTTAATTTTGAAATCAGAGTTCACACCAGTAACTGAATATTGTGTAACTGTTGCAAGAATATGAAATCATGCCTTTCTTTCCTGGCCTTTCTTTTTAATAATTTGATATTTAAAAATATGAATGCAGCAATATCCTCAAGATTCTCTTCCATATGCTAACATATATACATGAATTGTTTTAGACATTTATGTTTAATCCAGATCTCAGTTTCTTTATAAACCTAGCAAGGGAGTTAAGAGTAAATGACTTGAAAGTCTCATTTTATCCCCAAAGCTATATAGGCTAAGAGGAGAGTCGGGGAAATCTTTAAGGGAAATACTTTGAGAATTCATGTAAGTAAGACTCTATAAAAATCAAAGTTTTTAACCTCAAATAAATCAATTTCTTTTTTAAAAGCCATTTTAAGCCTAATATCTACTATCCTTTTATTATAATAGATCTAACTAAATTCTAATGAGCAAGAAAGGAAGAAAAAGACTAGAAACCAAAGCTCAAATCTAAGAGGTCACCAGTGCTATTTCTCATGAAACAAGATAATCCTGGGGAAGACTGAGGGCATCTGGATAATTTTAACATGTGTAATAGAAAGAAAATAAATAGTTGGTTTTAATTATTTACTTTTCCTTTGTATCTAAGGCACCCTAGAATTTGAAATAAGTTTCTGATATACTGAGGGAGATGACTGCATGAATCCAACATTCACAAGGAAGCTTTGGATGAGAAAGAAGGGGAACAGCACACTAAGACAAAGAAGCACTTTCAGCTGACCACTAGTGGATAAAGCTTTCAAGACCAATTTAGGTGACAGCAAGTTTTGTTGTTGGTTTTGTTTGTTTTCCTAATTGCTCATGTTGGATTAATCTATTAAGCTTGGAAAGTCATAGCCAGTCATTTAAGGGTAGTATACCACGTTGGGCAAGCAAGCCTTTCAAACACAAACTCAGAATGTGAGGCAAATATGTAGCCCAAAAACTATAGTTGGATACTGGTCATAGAGAGTTTGTATCTTACAGCTCCTACTATCCCCCCCAAAACACCATGGGACACAGTTTTCCTACACTATCATGACGGAAGGAGGATAAAAGGTAATGCCTGGGTGGCTGTGTACTGACAAGGGTAAAGTCTATTCCCCACAGTGCAGGAAATAAACGGGGACGGTACTATGATCAAGAAGGCACATCATGCAATATACTCCCTTCCTCTGTACCTTTCTTTCCCAAATGCAATGCCTACCTTCTGTGTGGACTGCAGAGACATAGGTCCAATTGTAACGTTTGACTATGTCAAGCATTGCCCTTGCTTGCAAAGTGTCAGAAGGGACAACCCTCAGGAAGTATTTGTATAAAGTTTTGTCACTCAGGTCGATGCTTGTGGCGGAATATGCAATCTGGGGAATGTCGAAGAGCTGAAGCAGGTTCTGCACTTGAATGGCTACGGAGCTGGAGCCCGGGCCGATCACGCCCGCAATGGGCTTCTTAGTCCTGCCTAGGGGAAGGGACTGGCCGTCAGGCAGGCACCGGTTGAGCCCATCCTTTTCATCTCGAATGGAAATCAGAGAGTCCCTGATGAACTCAATGCTCTGCTCCAGAGCCACAGAGGAGTGCCAGCAGGAGTCCCGGATCTCACTGCCCAGAGTGATGTTGGGCAGCAGGACCGGGTCCGCGTTAATCTTATCCAACGTGTGGAACATGGCCTCCACTCTCTGGATGCCATACTGCTCCCTGATCTCTCCACACTTTCTCTCCGGCACCTTCTCCGCGGGAGGCTGGTGGTGGACTGAAAAGAGGGCTCCAATGATGACATCTCCATCCATTCTGGCCACCGAGCGCTGAGACGAGGCTCCCGCCAGCAACACTTTCCTGCCGGGCGCCCTGGGAAGAAGGGACATCTCCAAAAAGATCGCTGGGAAAAAAAACAAGAGGAGCCGGACCATTGTGCTGAGGACGCGGTCCACAGCCGGCTCGCCGCGTTCCCACGCTGGTCCTGCCCGCCGGCTCTGCGCGCTCACAACGTAGACAGACACCCGACGCCTGCCTCTCCCTGCTCGGTCCTGCTCGCCAACGCTGCTGGTTCAACACTTTCGCCGCCTGCACCCTTGCCTCCTTCCCTTCCTCCGCCACCTAGTCCGCCACGACCACCTCCGTGTCCTGGAGACGTTTCTGAAAGGGAAATTCGAGCCCCCTTCTTCGCCGGTGCATCAAAGTAAACTGGTCAAGAGTACAATGGGCATCGTGGTGGCAGTCGTGAGCTGGACGCTGCCGACAAAACAAGGGAAGAAAATCAAAGCTCCGTTATCACAAGACCTGTTTCAAAACTCTGGGTCAGCGATGTTAACAGTTGCCCGGTCCATTTCATTTCAGCACGACAGGATATCGGCTGGAGGGACAGGTCGGGAGACAGCTGTTGTCAAGGCAGGAGGTGGTGCGTCCTGCCCGCAGTGCCTTCATCGGTCCCTGGAGGCGCAGACCCTCCCCCTCCTCCAGCTCCAAGCCTCTTCCAGGTCCCCAAATGCCCATTACACTCACAGACTTGGTGGGGGGAAAGGGGAATAAAGGAGTGGAGGAGCTAGGTCTTTCAACCTAAGAGAACTTTCCGGATTTGAAAAGATCAACTTTTTTCTCAAAAGAAATTTGGAAACTCATTACGAAGGTGGAAGCACTACTTCAAGATGAACGCAAAAACGGAATGCACGTTTTACTTTAAATTAGAGGGGTTGAAAAGACCTCAACATACCACCCGAGTAGTAAATACAATTTGCCAGCTTGAGGAAATCCATATTAGTTACTAAGGCAACGCCTGGTAAAGTCTCAGCATGTCGGAGTTTGGTATGTCTCCCACCCCCCCCATACACACACCCAAGAAGTCGGGCTTACTGTAGATGTTCAGGGAGGAAGGGTGCAGATAAGGTAACTTGATTCCCGCGATGGAGGGTGGAGAGAGTGGGTGGAGGGAGCCCCTGCACCCGCCTAAATCGGGACCTTTGGCTTTGCACATTTCTAGAAAGGGAACGGAGGGGAGCTCTGGGTAGCTTTTGCTGCGGTAGCTCAAGCCCTGCCGCCTTCAGAACCCTGGACAGTGCTCAGTCCAGCAGCGAAAACATTCCCCCACAGGGCCTGGGGGGGACGCTTTGACCAGCGCGTTGCAATTACTTGACACCCCCACCCCCCATCCCCGACTTCGCTTTTAACCCTCCTCCCTGCATTTTTTACACACACACACACACACACACACACACACACACACACACACACACACACACCTTCCTTCACCTCCCACCATCCCTCCATCCTCATTCTCTGCCTTGCAGCCGGGGCTCCTGCAGGTATATTCAAATCCGTCCGCTTCGGGGGCAGAGGCGCCAAATCTCAGCCGCCTGTGGGGCTGAAGTTGGCTCCCTCTCGTTCCTCCCCGGCTCCTTTTCTCAAGGTGAGAGTCGGACGAGAAAGGAGCTAAGGGAGCGGGCGGGGAGCAAGAGCCCAGGAGGTGAGCAACCCAGGCATTCACGGGTCCCGACGCTTCCTAGGGATGCTGGACCTAAAGAAATAAATAAGCGGGGATGTCTCTGAGACCAGGAGGAAATCCCATAGATTGGGACTATGTCTGCCACTGTGGGTGGGTTTCATCGCCCGGAGGTGTCTGCTCACCTGGGTCTGCTTGGAGAATTGGACTTGAGACGTACCTGAGTCCGGGTAGACAGCGCTGTGGTCCTCGGGCTAGAACACCACTCGGGCCACGCTCGGTTCGCAGACTCCTCAGCTCTAATCCAGACGGTGCAAGGATGCGATCTGGGCTGTACACTAGTGCCCTCTTTCTTCAGCACTATTTTACCGCAAGGAAAAAAGAGGGAGGGGGGAGGGGGAAAAAAAACAGGTCACCCAAGGCTTGTCTATTATCTCATGCATAAAAATCAGTCGTTTGATGGAGGGGTGGGGGGTGGGGGGAACCTAGGGAGAAGTGAGAAATACTAATTCCTCTACAACCAGTGGATTCTTATAGAGGCTGCCAGATATATGAATAGCCAGATCTGATGAAAGGAGTGGGGAGCTTCTTAGGCTGCTTTAGGTGAATATTCTTTGTATATATTTCAAGGACCCAAATACATGTATTCTCCCTAGAAGTAAAGTCTCTATGGAGGGAGACAGAGTTAATACATGCGTAGACATTTAGATAAAGTCTATTAGTAGGTTGCAGGGGAAAGGCTGCATCAAGTGGGAGTAGGGGAAGGAGAGATATGCACATGATGAATCAAGGTAAGACAAATGAACAGAGGCAAACATTGGCTGCATTTTCCAGGTCAAGATGTAACTAAATTGAGATGAAAGTCAAGTCACATGAAAACAGTGGAGTGAAAAACACATATCCAAATTCCTCCCAGGCTGCTATCACCCTCCCGACAGGTCTCCAGTGTTGCTTCTTACTGTGTGAAAAGTGGAAGTTAAATCACATTCCTCTGGGAACATGTTGGCTGAGCAGAATGTGTCCCAGCTTCTTCAGAGGGGAAAGACAAGTGACCGTGTGCCTTTCCACTCTTGCTCAAAGCTTTCTATTTGTGTCATCTGCAGAGAAGAAAGATCAACTTATGTGGGTCTCTGTATAATCATCTTGCTCATGTCATCATTTTCCTATGGGCTGGTGCCACATCCATCTGGAAGTGACAATACACGTGTGGTGGTTTTAAATACTCTTTTAAGTGTGCTCCATGAATCTTAGAAAGAAAACAATACATCCTGTCAGAGACAGATCCTCTTTCTGGTTTCAGTTCTGTTCTTTTTCCTCGGGTGTCAGATTTTTCTGGACTTTAATTAGACAACATGAAAAGGATAGGATTTTTTTTCTTTTTCCACAAGCAATGCACTGAATCAGGTAATAGCCTTTAGACCTAAATGTTCTCAGTTCTGGAAGTAATAGTATGTTTACTCAAGGAGGATAGGAAGGAGGTTCTATCTTCACACATAAAATAAAATGATTCTCTGTCTGTGCTCTTAGGAAGATGTCTGCTCTAAGAAGAGCAAGTCAAAGGTGTTCACAGTGCATCATAATATCTCACTTCCTCTAATAGCCATTTAACTTTCATTTTAGATAATGCTATGCTAGTAAGATAAGCCCTAAATATTATTTTCCTGGAACATTTCATAGATACAGTGAATATACAAAGATTCCTGCGCATATAAAAAACATTAAACATGATTTGCAGGATTCAAGAAAGAAATGTCTCTGAAGTCCTTCAATGTGGACTCCTCAAACCTGAATATTTTTAATATATTCCATTGACATAGCGCGGAAAAGAATCTGCTACTTAGAGAATAATTAAATATTCAGATTTATTTGTTTTCAGTACAGTCCAAGTAAAAACTACACATTCAGGCTGGCTGAAACAAATCATTTTAAAGAGGGAAAACTTGGGGATTTTGACATAGGAGGTCTACACATATGCATACATTATATAGCAGAAGTGCTAAGAAAAATTTTAGTTTCAAATGTATAGTTTCAATATTATCTATTAAATTTATTGATAATTATTTAAGACCAACTTTAGAAAGCACAAAGACAAAAATAAGACAAGAGGAAGGCATTGAGAAATAAGAAGACAACATCAGCCAAATATGCTTTCTCTTTCTGGAAATTAAGACTTTACCAAGGCATGAAGGATATAATACATGTACAGACACCTAAAGGAAGTTTCTATTAGTAGGACTGAAGAAAATTACTAAAAGGATGAGTTACATACAAATTAACAAACATAGGTGGATACACTGATATAGGCACAAATAGTAATCTATACAAGTTCAAAGAATGTTAAAGGCACATGAATCCAGAAATGCTGTCAGTATGAATAGTTATTCACTGCTGGTAGTGTAGAGTATTACATTCAGTATGTGATTTGTAGCACAGTAGAAAGTGTTATGAGCAGTTCGGTTTGGGAAATCTATTTCATACAACATGCAGTGGAGATCAAGCAAAAGAATACCTCAACATACTATCTCAAGACAATGATTTCATGTGCTGCTGTAGCAATAAAGACAACAAAATGCTCATTGTTTTTCTATGGTAATAAAACAGTATTATCCATAAGCAAAATTGTGATCATTTTTCTTAGGAATGTATGCCCAGTTTTCACTGACTCCAATCATAAAGAACATCGTAAAGGAACTGGTCTAAATTTTAAATGAACAAAAGGGTATAAAGTTTTCCACATAAAATCAGTTAAAATTTCATACTTTTCAAAGTGAGCAAGTATAAGTTTTTTAAAGAAAGAGATGGATAAGTCAGGCACATATCCCAAATTATACTGTATTAGAGTGGGTGTTTTGAAAAGTAGAGTTTACACAGTTGTTGGAATATGGAAGTGAAGCATACACAAGAGGTAACAGACTCATAACTGAAGAGGTAGCACTGACTGAAAATAGAAATGGGATCAAAGAAGGCCTTTGTAGAAAACTGATTTGTGGAGAATTGATATGTAATGTATTACTAAGGAAATATAATTATGTTCAAGTAGATCAATGTTGCGGAGAGCAAATACCATGCTTTTCCATAAAATAGCATGTTCCATGGCCAATTAATCTAATGTGGCATTTCTTATATTATTAAACTCATGAGTTCAGCAAGATAACTCAAGCCCCAGTGAGATTTTTCAGTTTCTTTTTCCAATTTTGTTTGTACATTGCTTAAATCAAGAGAAACTGCTGTATCTTAATAGAACTTTATGTTCTGAAGCAAAGGCAATAAAAATTATGAAATAAAATCTTTCAGAAACTCAAAATATTGTTACAAAACATGATTGATTATCAAAGTAAACATTTTAAAAGAACTAAAATAAGCCAAATTTAGTGTACATTCAATTGTTTTATTGGTATGATTAATTAGGCTATAACTATTTATGCAGACACAGGACCAAAAGCATCAGTTTCCATGAGCAAATAGAAATCATCA